AATGCAGCAGATCTTCCTTCACACTGGAATCAAATATTAAATTTTCCCACATCCCATGGAATTCAACTGTGAAATAGAATAGAGCATTTGGTTATTCAGGCTTCAGTGATGCGAATATGTTGCTAACGTGACCAACACCCATTCTTGTCGATTTCCTACGACGAAAAAGTGCTAGCTATCAAGCAAGGATTGTACAAGTACTCATTGGATAAGATGAAAAAAATTTAAATAAAATTACAGAATCAAAGTTATCGTCACATAATCCACAAATTGGAGAGATGTCCCCAAGGTGCCTACATATGAAATATTGAAACAATTGGGCTAGCTATTTTCAAAAGTCGAAAATAGCATTTTTTCCCCAAAAATGATAGAAATATTAAATAAGGTAGGTTTTCCATTCACTGTGAGAGCTTACGTATTGCATGAAAAACGTGGAGAACTTCTGTCGCAAAAATCGAATGACTTGATTTTAAACATGAATTTCTTTTATTATAAATCAATATTAAAATGCCAAATTTTCATAGAGGAAAATTTATTCCTATATGTTTTAGACTAGAAGGAAACTGGCTTACTCGTAGAGGTACTGAGAAAATCATTGAAATCCATGCATTACTGTATGATTATTTACATTATTTACATTTAAATAGTTGTTGTAATGTTTAAAATGTACCTGCTGGTAAAATCCAATGGCTAGCTGCAGATAAATTGTCATCATCCAATTCTTCCGAGGCAGCCCCATCTTCTTGCAATTGAAATACATGAAGATCTAACTGTGTATGGCATAAATCTATTGCCTGTGAAGACATTAAAAGTAATTTAATGCAGCATAATTCACTTCACTCATCAGTGTTGATATGATATAACACATAAAGCTGCATTGTTTCTTACAATCTGTTGAGACTTTTACATTTTTTAAGTTAATTGACAAAATTTAATAGCTATAAATGTTTATTTCAATTTGTATTAATGTCATCATCCTTGAATTGTCCCCTTAAGATGCTGAAAAAAATGAATCTACAGAGATGCGTGGCAATTAACATGTTGTGTCCTCTAATGACAAAGCACTTCTGTAACATCAAAATGTATACATATGTGATAAAAGCATTTTAGCAAGGTCATTCAAATAGACAACTGTGTATTCGTTCATCATTTAGAATATAGTAAACTGTATTTTTTATTGATGGATGTCAACAGATCAGGTTTTAGGTCTGCAAGCATGCACTGGCTGAAAAAAAAATGCACAGTGCACCAAAGTATTTCCAATCCTGCATCCCTTATTATGAAGTATATGTTACCGTACAGTATAAAAATTACAACAGCGGTTGTATTTACCAACAAGGCTAAATCTATTTAATCCCCAGTGCAAACCCAGAATAAATAGGTAGTTCCAAGGTGGATCTAATAATGAAAACATGATTACATACTGGGTAACTTTTGTCCCCATTTTTTGTATTTAGTGAGCAATAAACAATGTCATTATTCAAGAGAATGCGATGCGGGATACACCATGGAGTACCATATTGGGCTTCAATAACAAAGTAGTTACCGGTACTGGTATTTTGACTACCGTATTAGCTCTATTAGAAGCCCATATAAACAAACAAATGCTTTTATTGTATACTAGATCATTAAATGACTTTATTTCGACAATAGTCAAACCACGGTATGCGCATCTAATAGATCAACATACATGTACAAACTCCTAGAGTAATGGTGTGGCAAAATCATTGTCTATATTTTTAAATTCTGTTATTCGTTGTAAAAGCATTAATTTCACTGGGTTTTAATTTGACCATTTTGAGTATATTGGTTTATCAATTCTATTGTAATTTTACATTTACTTTTACATTGAGTTGACCAGAGTTTAAGTGGATTTCTTATCAATGAAAATCAGTGAATAATTGAAACGTAAAATGCTTGCATTACTTGACATTGTATTATTCAGTTCATGTGGAACCAACTTATAGTGCAGTTTTTTTTTTCTTTTTCTTCATGTTCAGTAACATAGTACTGATATTTTATATAACTTGAAGACAGTTACCTGTTTTCCTAGTTTGCTCAAATCTGTATCACATATTGCAACTGACTTGACATGTTTTATAAGAATTGGATCATCAAATTCAGTCAATATAAAGTCACCATACGCTGTTCTATGTTGGTGTAACAACTGCATCACATGCTCTTTGATAATAGCTGCCGTCAAAGTGCTACCAGGGAAGAAAAAGTGAATTACATAATTGTGAATAGACATACCATTGTGTTATTACGACTGTAATAATATAATTTTGTCATGGCCGATTTTGGCCTAAATGGTTTGATTTTACTTCTGTTATTCTAATAGGTAACTGTAATCTTCCTACTCCTAGGCAAGATGTTTTTTACTAAAACTATTTGATTTATTTGTTGAAACCCTTTTAAATCAGGGGCTCACCAATAGAAGTACACATACTGGAATAAATCAATTAGGAGCAGTGAAAAACATGTATGAAAGTACAAATAATTACAAAAATTGGGTTCAACAGGTATTTAAAAATTACTCTTATAATTTTCTTAGTTCAACTGTATCAATGAGGAATTGTTTAAAGGTACTATCTATTATTCTACAAAGTTCAACATTGTAGCCCGGCTATTGTCCCCCAAGACAGGAATTAGCAGTTTATTATATACCCTGAGAGACATCTTTCCACATGTTAAATTCATTATTACTCAGTGAGGTGTGTTTGATTGTATTCAACATAATTTATCTCTGGCTATAAAAAGAATCACATTTCAAGTTGAAATGTTCCAATGTTTCAATACCTTCAAAACAGGGACACATACAATCCTCTACATCAGTTCATTTCCTTTTTGGCCAGACCTAGGGCATATGATCTTGCTTCAAACATAAGCTGTGCCCCTTCATAGTTATTCAATGTTTCTTTTCCTAGGTTCTGAATATCATGTAGAGTTTCAGACTTGATTTGTTTATCAGGTTTTCTTTTCAACTTTAACTTGTCAATATCTTCCACAACCCTTTTTTGTTATAGTATAATGTGTTTTAATCTCTGATTTGTCTGTTTTAATGCTTGTACATATACATGTATTGGTATTATGGTTTACCCAATCCCAAACCGTACTGTCACGTATTGTGGAATCTTTTAACTTATTTAGATTATTACCATCTGCACTCTTTCATATGGCATAATCGGTTGTAATACTGTCAAATACTTTTGCTTAGAATTATTTTTCGCTGAAGGAATAATTCAGTGAAAATAAAATCCAGCGAATATACTATTTTTCCCATATTTTACATTCATCTTATCAAAAATCTATGAAAATTAGTATTTTACAGTATTTCAGTTTCATAATTTATAATCAGTTTTACATTGTTTTAAATCCAAGATTAGACTTGCTTGCAGTCTGTTGCGATTCCGATGAAAAATTCGTGAAAAATAAATATAAATTGCGTAAACAAAATCCCAACAGACTTGCCATCAGTGTAAGCGCCCTCGCATTACCAGCCAGATTAAGGCTTGTAATGATTGACATGTCTAATATGTTTCAACCAATCAGAAGACCATACCCACTTTCTTGGATAAACTTAGATCCCGAAAACATGCGTTGTTTTATTCAATTTTGTTGGCGTCAACAGCATGATAACATAGCGCGAGACAAGTAAACACAGGCATGTGCGATGTCCGGTAATAATATTGCTATGATCTGTGGCCCGGTCGTATGACATACATATATGCAAATTTACAAGCCGAATCTGGTCGGTAATGTGAGGGCGCTCACACTGATGGAAAGTCTGTTGGGATTTTGCGGTCACATGACTTTTGCGTTCACCCCTCGTTTACGCAATTTATATTTATTTTTCACAAATTTTTCATCGGAATCGCAACAGACTGCAAGCAAGTTTAGTCCAAGATCACAAAGTACAGCATCATTTGCTCTATCTCTATACTTGCACCAAGCATAAATTTACCTACTGGGTGTTGTAAGACTTCAATTTTCTCCATATCAGTGATGCTTGGTGTTCCCAACAAATTAAATTACTGGTTTTACAACATTATTTCAGAGTGACTTAACCACACTCTACATTATTAACACTGCCATGATTAGCAAGTATTGTGCTCATAACTGGTTATTGGATTTTGCACTTAGTTTTATCACAGGGAGCCCAGGAACTATAATCAACTGTACGCAGTCCCTGTGAGCGGAGAGAAGGGGGTTTCTTGTGATTGGTTCTTGACAAATTCTGAATAGGCCACGCCTCCAACTGAGCTGTGCTTTCAGAGCAACCATTAATTATTCATAAATTTGTGTAGTTTTCTGGATTTATTCTGCAGATATCGGTAAAATAAAGGTATGGCTTTGGCGAAATTTGAAAGAGTAACCAATATTCTTCAAGCTGGTATTTTTTTTTTAGATTTTATTTTTCATTCAGCTTGACTGTTTTTTTTTTAGCTTAAAAAATGAGAGCTGGCTGGAGCCTTCATCCCTTCTATTTCTTACACTAGATACCAGCCGATACACCCCTGCTCATAGGGAGTGCGTACAGTTGATCATAGTTCGTGGGCTCCCTGTGCACAGGGTATGGAATATTTACAACTTTTGCAGCTCTTAATTCACAAATATAACGACTGCATATTTGCTATTTTTCAAATGAAAATTTATTAAAATGTTTAGCTATGTTTGTTTATGTTTTAAAAATAATTTACTTTTGTCTTGTCTTGTCTTGCTTTGTTTTGTTTTTCTTGGACTTTAGTCAAGCATTATATTGTGAATAAATGAAATCTTGTATTTTGCTACACTTCAAGTTTCCCAAGATAACCACTGATTTACAATAAAAATGTTACCTGTTTGACAGACGTATACAGAGTTTTTGAGCCAATGCTTTACAAAGCGATGTTTTGCCTGTACCCGGTGGACCATGAAGTAATATAACTCGGTTCCAAGATATAACATTACAGTCTACATTTTGATCAGAAAACAATAGTGTTGTTGCTGCAT